AAAGTTAGTCCCGTTATCACAATAGATTGTACGTGGTCGTCCACGTCTAGCAATAAAGCATCTAAGGGCCAAAAGAAGAGAGTAAGAAGTTAGGGAATTTATAAGTTCAAGATATGAATAATTCGGTACACCACGCAAGTAAACAGAGTTATCCACACTTTTCTTTCATCTTTCAAAAATAAAGGCCCCGTCAAATTTATTCCTACAGTATTCCCTGTTAACAGTTTTCCTATGACATCTGCATCAATTAAAAGATTGACTTCCGTTTCCTCTCGAAAAGAATCAGTAAAATTTATATATATATATATATATATATATATATATATATTCTTTCTCTTTAATTCATTGAAGACCTGTTTATCCTTAATTTTTGGAATAAATCCGCACATCGTTTTTTCAGAAAGAGCTTCAAAGCTACAAGTATACGTACTATTTAAACTAATAATCTCGACAGGAAATATATTTCCCTCCCCTCACCCCTCCGAATAGTGCATTAATAATTGTTTTACTTCTAAGCGTAGAGACTCTTAGATGAGTCATAACATTCTCGCTAACGTAAGTACTTTGAGATCCACTTTCAATCACAGCACCAATTAATTTTTCCTGACCTTAACACCGAATAAAAACGCAAAGTGTTTGCAAAAATACAGTTTCGCTTTTGCTAGACTTAGAGAGAAAACTATCAGATCGCGGAACCACTTTCGTTTCATAAACTTTTTCTCTTTCAGAAAAAATTATTTCCAAGTGGTGATTATTGCAATAAGAACAATTTAATTGATTTTTAATATTGCAGAATTTACTTAAATGGTCAGTTTTTAGGCAGGAAAAACATGCCCCTTTTTTACCAATACAATTTGCTTAGCATCTATAGTCATTTTCTTTGCTGAAAAACATTTTTCCCTAGGATGTGGCTTATTAAAAAAAATACAGTTTAATAATTCTCTTATCTGGTGTATCCACATTTATTAAACCTGCTGCTGTCGTCGTTTCTAACTTATTTTTCTGTATTGCATGATAATCCTTTTTTCGTGGATTCTGGAGGTAGAGGGTGAATCCAGTTCGTGCCGGAAGAATCTTCTCCTTTCCTATCCCCTCTTGCCGAAGAAAGTTCATTAACTGTTCCAAAGAACTGGATTCCTTCGATTCTGCCAATTCATGATTCCTGTTTCTTTCCCGGGCCACTAACTCTTCTTCAGGTAGGCAGCTCTCCATTAAGGGGGTCAGAAAATCTCCGAATATATATCTTGAGTCTTCCCCAAGCCCTCCATGGATCTCAATTTACTTTCAAGCTCATCGTAAAGAGGGGGTAAATCTATCTCTTCACACTTCCAGTAGCAGTATTTTTCATAACTAAATTTAATAGATCTCGAACGCTATTTGGACTAATAATTCTTCCCATCCAAATCTTTCTTCAGTTGATCAATCGCCTTGTAGTAATTTGCTGCTGTAGCAGGAGAATTAAGCACAAATCTTTCTGCTTTAGATTCTTGCTCCATTGGCTGTAACAAGTACTGCATTTTGTCTTCATCAGCAATTCCTTTGTCGTCATGTATCTTTTGGAATTGGTTCCAAAAGTTCAAATATTCTTTCGCATCTCCATTGAACTTTTAAGTTCAATTTTTCTCGACTCTTTATCTTTCGAAAGAGCAAAGTCCTACAACTTCAAACCTATTTTAGTTGGAAGTTCCAAGAACGTATCTTGGTAGGCTTCAGCGTCTTCCAAATCTTCCACAAATAGTCGTTCGCCATCAATAGACTGCAAAAATATTTTTAAAATGGCATCTTGACAAGAGTCCATTTTCGTAAATTTATCATTGAATTGAATTTTCAAAACCAAAAGTGCTTGTAAATTACAGGGTTCATGCGATAATTACGATTAGATTTTTTTCAAAAAAATAGAAAAAGCCATCCTCAGCCCTTTTCGTTGTGCTTTTAAAGCATTCAAATTAATTTTTGATATCGGAGGGTACTATTATGTTCGAAATATTTCAAACGTAGATTCGAGAATTCCGAAGTTCTGGGTAACTTTGGTCAAATAAGACTAGACACCTTTCAAAAATTATATGTTTATTCTACTGAGGACGAAAAGAAACACACATAAAGGTTAAGCATTCGGTTACCCCCGACAGCACAAACAGTTCTGAATATATTCGTCAGCTCACAGACTGACGTTGCATACAGTACCGCCTCGCGGCAAGTTTACTTCACTTCACTTTACAACAGAAACAACGAGCAGCATTCTAAAAAAACTGATAGTTTATCATCATAAAAGGTATAAAGCGCATCCAAGATTGATAAATTTGGAAGGTTATATCATTTTACTGCTTACTATACAATAAAACTCTTTAAATAAGAAAATCGAATTGTACACAAGACGAAAAGTGGACATTTGGAAAGTACAACTCGAAATGATAAGAGATTTATTGGAAAAGTGAAGTATCTACAACTCTGCATGGAAAAATTTCTATAGAATTCAATAAAAAAAATTTACGTTTTCAATTTCACGATATACCGTTTGACTTGAGCTGAAATCATCTGGTTTACAGTGGCCGTGGGTAGCCTAGTGGTTAGAGCAGTGGACTCCGGACCGGAAGACCTGGGTACGATGCCCGTACCGCCAAATACCCTCCGAGTACACGTGGAGAACGTTCTCGTTAAATCTGCGGGTCCGAAAATCTTGTGGGCTGAATCACGAGTGCAGGTCCGAAAGTGTTGTGGGC